AGCCCCGTCACCTGTGTGGCCGTGCGTGGCACGTCCAAATGGGAGCAGGGTGGCTGCCCTACTGTGCTGTCCTAAGGGATGAATCAATGGTGAGTGACTCAGAGGAGAGTTTTAGACACCCAGGCTGACTATATGATTCAGAAGGTGTTGAAATTTTTTAAAAGATGTGTGTGGGGGGGGGGCATTTCCAACTGCATCTCATCCAGTTTTGATGGACTCCAGTCACCGCATGTCCCACCTGCTATTTTAGGGTCAGTAGTTTCAACACCTCACCAGGGACACTCAGAAGCTGCCACCACTGGCCTCCTGGCCCAGGTTCCCAGTGACCTCGGCACACAGGGGGAGGCTCCGTGGTTGGTAGACACTGGAGTAAATTAAGATGCAGAACTGCTTTGCAGTCTTCCGTCTCTGAGTAATCTGTTCTGCCAAGCTCCCTCCTTTATAGTCAGGGACCTACCAATTACCATGAAAATCAGATGAATAAATATTGAAGAGAATGTGTTCAGCGTCTATTTTGGTGTCCTCACAGCAAGGAAGCGATGCTACATTTTTAATTAAGTCTTTCATTTCCATTTTCTTTTCATCTAAAGCTATCCTCCAGAGGATCGATTTAACAAGATAATCAGACCCAGATAAAAGCCCCCCCAAAGAAAAGCCATTAGTAGGTTTGACTTAACAAATGTTCTCAGTGGTGCCACACATTTCTCCTCCAAAATTAAAATACATGAAAACTTTGAGAAATGGCTTCTGTGGACACCTGGCTTAACCATGTTACTTCCAATTCCATTTCCTCATTTTCTACATCATCTTTTTACATGGTTTGTGAATTTATGATAAACACATTATTAGTCGTGCATCTCTCTCTCTCTCTAAGTTATTCTTTGGCCCTTTAAAGACTAAATGGAAAAACGTAATCATCTTTGTTCTATATAATGACATATTTAGCTATATTTTCACATTTGTGTTTTTTAATAACCTAGATTTTCAAGTGAAGTGTGTAGATTCTCATAGAATTGCTTGAGTATTTTCTCTCCTACTTTCTTTAGTTAACCACAACAGAATCACTAGATGACCTAAGCAGGTAGAAAGAACCCTGGGCTGGTTCTAGTTAGAAAAATCTTGCTTGTAAGTCTTCATCTGTAGTAAGGTGTGACCCTCATGCCCCTGTACACATACATCCCTGTAACCTCCCTGGATTCTCAACTACTAATCAGGAAAAGCCCAAGTTGATCAAGCATTTATCAAATGTTTATTGAACACCTACTGTGTGCCAGGGACCATTCCAGTTGCTGGGGGTGGACAATAAACAAAACCACCACCCTTATCAAGATCAGAGGCTAGAGGAAACAGAGAGGCAAATAATAAGCAAATTAATAAATGGGTACCAATGCTTGCTTGCCATAAGTGCATTAAAGCCAAAACAAATCAGAACAAAGAAACAGGAAGCACACAGGGAAGTAAATCCATCAGGGAAGAGTCTCCTGATAAGCCACCTCTGATTTGGAGAAAGTCTGGCTGGCTCTAGGAAGCAAGTGTGGCCACGTGATCTTGACACCCAAACCAGATGAGCACACACAGGCACAAAAGCAGTAAAGACAGTTGAGAGGGATGTCACGTCAGAGTCTTCAAAAAATCCTAAAGAAAATATGAGGTATCCAAATCCAACAGGGAAGGCAGGTTTCGGATAGGATGCAACATCAGAAAGACCTCCCTGTGTCATACTTACATGGATGGATTTAAGAAAAACATCACACTATTATCTCAAAAGATGCTGAAGAAGTATTGGATGAAGTTCAATACCTACATATGATAGGAGTTATTAGGTAAATAATATGTTTAAGTTCCACCAAAGCAGAGATTTTTCTATTTAAATAGGTTCACAGATACAGACCAGGTGCCAAAAGTTGATGTCTGGAGTTGGTAGTTATTCCGTGCACATTTGTTAAATGAATGAATGAATTCCTTTAGGTTGAGAAGAACAGACCACTAAAGGTCTCCGGCAAACATCTCTAAGGGAAGAAAACTGCAAAACATTTCCTTGCAGTTGCAGTCAGGCAAGGGCGCCCCCTCTTGATTAATGCTTATTGCTGCACCTAGTCAGGGTGGTAGATCAGGGGCCAGGATGGGCCCTGGAAAGCAAGAGACAAGACTCCCAGTATCTGAAAAGACTGAGTGCCAGGGAGCCTGCCAGAATCAGCAAAATCTCTAGGCACAAGATCCCTCCACATTCCTCTTCCTACAGCAGTCATTGTTAAGAAAATGTAACTAAAAATAACATACTACTTACAATAGGGACTAAAACTAGACATTTCAAAAATAACCTAACAAGCCCAGTGCAGTAGTACACACTTATAATCCCAGCAACTTGAGGCAGGAGGATCACAAGTTCAAAGCCAGCCTCCATAACTTAGTGAGGCCCAAAGCAACTCAGCGAGATCCTGTCTCTAAATAAAATATAGAAAAAAGAGGGGTGGGATGTGGCTCAGTGATTAAGCAGCCCCGGTCTCAATCCCTGGTACCAAAAAACAAACAAACAAACAAACAAAAAACCAAACAAAGGGAACACAAGAACTTTCTAGATAGACTATTAAAACTCTCTCAAAGAATATCTTAAAAGTCTGAGTAAGTGGTTCATCACATCATGGGGTGATGATCTAGTATTGAAAACTGGCTGTTCTTTGCCAAAATAATCTATACATGTAGCACAAGTCCTATCAAGATCCCAGCATGTATTTTGGGTGACTGATTTTACAAACAAAATAGAGAAGAATGAATGTTTGAGAGCATGCTTGGACCATTCTGATAAAGGAAAGTCAAGAGAAGGACTCACACCACCAGATATTAAGACAGCTGCCAAGTCCTAACAATGAAAAGAGCACAGTTCTTACACAGGAATAAACAGTCAGGTTGATAGAATGAAGAATCCAGAAACAGACCCAGGATGTCAAGAACTCAGTATGTTATAGAAGGAGAAGGAACTTTGGTATGGCAGAGAGATAATGAATAATTTGGTAAATGGCAAGCAAAAAAAATGGACTTACTATAAGGAAGACTTAAAAATTTAGGGTTTCCTATCTCATATCATATTCAAAAGTATTTCCCATTGAAATTAAACCTAATTGTGAACAATAAAACTATGAGGCTAGAAGAAGAGAAATAGAAAAAATATATAGAACACGGTGCAGTGCCTTTGTGATTTGTGGGTGAGTAAAAATTTAAAACTCAAAACCATTAATCCCAAGGGTTAAAAATTGGTGGATTCAGCATTCCAAAGAAAGACTTCTATTTGATGAAGAACCTCACAGGCAAAATGATCAAATAAGCAAAGAAGAAGAAAGAAGGAGGAGAAGAAGAAGAGGAGGCACATGGAAATTCTACTGCTGAAAAACTCATAAAGAAAGTCAAAAGAAAAGTATGGGAACAAGAGCATAACACTTACAGGAGACAGACCTGTTGTTCTTGGCTAATTATATGCAATCAAAGAATTGCACATCTGGCCATGAACTAGGACTTTACTCCTCACTCCTACCAATTAGCAAAACTAGACAGACGCGATCTAGGAAGACTGAGAATGTAGGGTCCCCCCCATCAGGGGTGCACCTCAGTAGCCCAGCTAATCTGGAAGCAAATGCAGACCCTGGTCAAATTAAATATGTATTTCCTGTGACCAAAACTTCCACCCCTGGCATATGCCCCAGAGACACTATCCCTGGGATAGAGAGAAACACACATGAGGGTCTGTAGCAGCTTAAACAACCTTCTCCAGAGAATTTAGAGGGACTCAAAATGTGCATCTGAAGGTCCCCAGGCAGTGCCCCAAAGTGATGATCCGATGCACAGAAAGCACCATTGATGCAACTCAAGAACTTGAGAGGAAGGAAGGAAATGAAAGAAGATCTGTGGGACATCATGTTCATAAATTTCTAAAAGACATGAACACAAAATATATATTTTTACAGATGACATCTGTATAAAAAATTACTACAGAAAATAGACTGGAAGGAAATGGTTACATTTATTGTATTCCATGCCTGGGAGATGGTTGTCTTGGTGGAAGAGAAAGAGGAATTATGCAAACAGATGTTTCAAGAATGCTGAGAGCTGAGGTATAGGGCCCCTCAAGTGACCCCCAGCCCACCTGCACCCGCCTACACACAGAGGATATGTTCAAGTCCAGATGAAGATTAAAGCTTTGTTCCTACCTGTCAGTCACTTAAACAATTCTACCTTGCTTTTTGTTTTCACTGCATAAGAAGTTTTAAACAGCAATTCTGGAATTTACTCAGCAATTAATTCAGTTGCATTTACTGCAATTATTTGGACTATTCCCAGGGTGAAGTCTGATCTATTTATTGATTGGAAGATGGTCAATTCAGCCAAACCCACACAATTATCCAGACACAACTGTACAGCCAGAAATGGTCAAACTCAGCCTCACTGGGCATCACCTCTTGCAGAGGAAAAAACTAGAGACTAATTGGTGGGGATCTTGCTTACTCTTCAGCACTTTTTCGGCCTACAGATAAAATCTCAGTGACTCAACTTTCAGGAATTTTTGAGATAAATATTAAAATACCAGAAGCCTGTGCTTCCTTTGTCTGTTATGAATGTATTAAGAAGAAAAATTTCCCTTTTACAGATTTAGTTTCACCTTTCACTTTTAGATTTTAATTCCCACTGAAGGTACTTTGATAAGGTAATATGATATGAGACAGGAACCCAACATTTTTAAAGTCTCTGCATAGTAAGCCAAAGTTCCTGTATTTATTTACCTGAAAGTATAGGAAAGTCAAAACTTTCATCCCGGGCCATGAAAGTTTCCCCAAGTTTTATGACTTGCATGGGGCCCTGACCATCGACACCTGCTCTCTGCCTCTGTCCCTGGCACGCACACATGGATAGGAGACACAGTGCAGGGGTCGCCCCATGTGGTGTCCCAGTGAGTAGAGTTGGTTAAAGACAGGTACAAGCTCATGAGAAGGCCCTGTCCCGTGCCTCACCGTGCCTTCAGGGTCCACTAGCAACAGATGCTTGGCTTGGCCGTGGTGCATGCCCGTGAGGACGAAGGAGCCTGGGTTGGTGGTGCTCTTTCTGACCAGGAAGTCTCCATCCTTCTCCAGTAGCCCCTCTGCCTCCTTCCTACTCATCTCTCCTTGGTACCAAGGCTCGGCATTCAGTTCCTCCAGCATCTTGGCATCGGGGGCTCTGGGTGAGACTGGGCTGATGCACTCCACGGAGGCTGCCTTGCTCAACATGGGTCCCAAGGACTGGTTCCTGAGCGCATCTTCAAAAGGCTCTGCATCAAGGACATTTGCCAGCAATGAGTCAGTCAATCACCACAAGAGCAAAAGATCAAAATATCATGTAAGAGATGAAAATGCAAACACAACCCCCTCAGGGTAGGAAAACTAGGAAAGAAGAACTGGCTGGTAATATATCAAGACTTATCATAACCAGTAATTACAAGCACAGCCCAAATGTTGGCATGACTCCCTCTGCGGAGTCTGTTTTCCCTGACAGCTGGAAGTTCTACTTTGTGCCAAGGATTCAAGTTCACCCTTTGTCAGATAGATAGTAGGACTTCGTCACTGCACACTGCAAGAAGCCATACATAGCTCATTTCCCTCCAATTTCCCTGGAATATCAGCCATGTTTCTTAATAAATTCCAAATAAAAACTTGCTAATACCAAAGGTGAAGGCAAGTTGTGCAGCTTTGATTTCATATAGAACCTAAGCCCAACTTACCAACAGTTTACTTCAAAATCTTTGGGTACCTCTTGTGTGACTTCTAGGATAGGAACTCTTAACGCCCCTTGACCTTCATTTATTTTCCCACCACAAAGGGCTTGCTTGAATTCCTGACACCACGCTTGGCTTTATCCCCCTTGAAACACACTTCTGTCTACAAGGTGGCTGTGGATGGGGAAACTGCTGCTCCAGCAGCAGCAAAAACCAGTAGCAAAGAAAGTAGACAGAAAAGTCTAATTCAGTTTCAACATTCAGTTTTCCAGTAAGGTGGTAGGTACCAACGCACTCTGGAAAATGAGCACAGGCTGTGAAACAGGTGTGATGAGGATGATTTAGGATCCCACTGCCCACCCAGAGAGGGGCAAGCACCACAAGAAGAGTAATGGTTCTCTCCGGGACACAGCTACATCTCCAGACCCCCATGTTGTTCCTAGGACAGAGTCCATAACTTTAAGTATTCAATGGGTGCCATCAAATAAGCTAAATTTTGCAAATATTAGTGGGGGATACAAAGAAAAGAGATGAATATGTGAAACCAAAATTAGATCTTTTCGATAGCTGCGAAGTGTCACAGGTTTAGGGGGGAAAAGAGGTTAAAATGATAGGCTAAGATTAGGTCTGTGGGTTTTCCTCTTTGGTCATCTTATCTGATCACCTGGAGTAATTGGAAATTTGTGTTATACTATTTCTGCATCATCTCCACCTTTGCTATCTTCACCATCAGCAGCAGCATCCCATTTGTCCCCACATTCACATTGGTCAGCACAGTCACCATCAGCAGCAACATGATCTCCATCGCCATCATCACCATCTTCATAATTATCTTCACCACTGCTATTACCACCATCATCACCACCTCCATCACCACCATTGCCATCCTCACCATCACCATCACCATCACCATCATTATTTCTTCATAATCACCATCATCACCATTACCATCACCATCATTGCCACCATCACTATCACCATCATTACCATCACTACAGTTTCCATAATCTTCACCACCACCATCATCTTCTTCATCGCTACCATCATCACCACCATCACCATCAACACCATTGACATCATAATATTCATCACCAACACCATCATCACCATCACTACCATTTCCATCATCATCTTAATCACTACCACCATCATCACCATCACCATCACCATTATTATCATCTTCATTATCACCATTACCACCACCATCACCATCAATGCCACCATCACTATCGCCATCATTACCATTACTGCTGTTTTCATATCTTCATCACCACCACCATCACCATCATGACCATTTCCATCATCATCATCATGACTATCACCATCATCACTCACATCACCATCATTACCATCATCACCACCACGAGTATTATTTAGCCCTAGTACTTCAAGATAAACAACACAGTACTGGCTTGTATTTTTAATTACTTTTTAATAGACATGAGCCTCTGTAAGACCCTTTCTACCATCTGTTTCCCCTTCTCTGGTTTCTGGAGCTGATATAGAAATTAATTGATGGGAAATTAGAAATTAATTGGTGGAAAAACAATAGCTCCGGTTCCCATTTTCCTCAAAGCCCAACTAACCCAGCTCTCCCCAAGCTCTGGGGCCAGGAGTCACTGGGAAATTGACTACGTTAAACAGTAAAAAAATGGGCTGCCCAAAAATACAATGACAAAACTACCACTGGGAGATACCGCAACAACGAAGCAGAGGTGGGAGGGTCTGGTTCTACATTATTGGGCTGTTTTCTCACTTTTTAAAAAGTGAACACTTTGGATGAAGGAACCTAAGGTGCCTCTCAGCATTGAGAATCAAGAGTTCTTCTAGCTGAGGTGATTTTTGACAAAATGAGAGTAAAAAATGGGAGTCCAATGAGTCTAAGCAGCCAAATTGGCTGAGGAATAGAAAGTGACCTAATTCTCAAGGCATGTGACCCCAGCCTCACCCACATCAGATACCTGGAGTAGCAAGTTCTAGACCAGCAGAGACTTTTACACATGGGGAGGTTCTTAACCTCTAGGATTCTCCATCTCCTCCTCTATAACATAGGGATGGTGTTAGTAATAATACTGTCTCCCTCCCAGATCTATACAACAAACAGAAATCCCACGGTTCACATGCCACCACATTGCCACCTCTGATCACCACCCATCCCCCTCTTGTCTTATTTTGCTGTTCATAACTTGTGAGCACTTCTTACCATCTGGTGATACACGGTTATTTGTTTAAAGAGGCCCCTCTTACAAGGCAGTGATGCTCTTCAATTGGACCTCTCAGCTGGTCAAAGGGGTGCTGAGGCTGAGGGAGCCCAGTGTCCAGCTCTTCCATCACCCAGAGGTGGCATAAGAGGCATTGCCCATGATTGCCCTTTTGGATTGCTATTCCTGTGCTCGCCCTGCCTCCAACGCAGCTAAACAACCCTATCCAAGAGAATGCCCTATTGTGCTCTCCTTTCTGGAAAGAGGGCATCTTTCATACCCTGGGGCCAGTGATATGTTGAAGATGGCTCCGTGCAACTGGCAAGAGTCAGTTTAGGGCTTTTTAAAAACCTTGCCAAGAGCCTATGGGTAGGTGTTGGCCAGCACACGGCCATCTCCCAGCCAGCACGTGTGAGGGGGAGTTGGCCTGATGATACTGCTTCCCTGGGAGGCCTCACCTGCAAAACCATGAGCTGTGATTCTACTCTCTGAATCCCACACACTATTTCTATGTTTAAGAGGCTATTTCTGGATCACCTGCCCTAGGTTAAGAAGTGCTATTTAAGTGTACACCTTTGAGTATATTGTGAACAAATCTCCACAAGCTCATTTCAAAAAGGAGATCAAAATCCCCATGAATGACCTTGCTGACAGTCCTTTCCCACTGCAGATGACAGCAGATGCTGAATGGGGACAGATGGACACCCACCACGGTGGTCCCTGAGTCCACACTCACTTAGGAGGAAGAGCTACTAGAAAATGAACAATCTGTTTTATGGGAACATATCTGTTTTAAGGGAAAACATACTTATTATTTTTCAATAAGAGCTTGAGACTTATGAGTCTCAAGTTCCAGATGGGGAACTTGTTTCAGATTCATTTTGCCCTGGTGGGTCAGCTACGTTCTCTGATCTTGAACCAGCTGGAATGACTTAAATATACAAAAAAAAAAAAAAAAAACCAAAACGTTATTTTATAATAAACCTGATTTATTTTATAATAAAGTAAATATCTAGAAGAAAGAACACTTCTATTTTAGCCTCTAACAATTATATCTCTCCATGCATATGTTACATAATACATTTTAAACATAAATAGAACAGAGGTGAATGGCTCATGGTGAAAAAGCCCCTTGACAAAATCATATCCTTGATTATTTCCAACCTACTTTAAGGCAGAGCCACATGGTGGCTTTAGCTTGGCCTTATGCTTTGTTGACGGGGCCAACCCCACAGCTCTCCCTTTCACTGGGGTAGAGAAGACATGACATTCTTTTGTATGAGGAAAATTTGAAAAATTGTCACTTGGTTCTTGGCACAAATGGTTATAACCAAGGGGTAAATCTTAACATTAAATCAATAAGTGGTTAAATTTACATCCATAGTGGTGTGAGTTGGAGCCACCTCATTTAGACCGCATAGATTTTGTAGCAGGACCACAGAACCATTTGAAGAGTCAAGAAAATTTTTGAGAAGGGAAAAGGTTTAAAATTAAAAGAGAGACTTCAAGGATAAATGGACAGATTGATGGAGGGATAAATAGATGGGTGGAAGACAGATGTTGGAATGGGTGTGTTTGTATTAATAACTGTGAGCAGCTAGCAAGTTCTTAGCAAGTTGTATGTAAATTATTATAATTCTATCTGGATACATCCAAATTATTCTTAGACGATGTCTGGATTATAGATAGTTGTATCTACATTAGATACAGTTAGATAGCCACCTTTAAGTTATTTTTAGTATGTGACATAAGTGTGTTATTAGATTGGCTAAGACCTGGACATGTCTTCTAAAAGCAGGCGGGAGCTGCGTCTGGTCTGTGCTGCTCCACAGGGACCACAGCCCTGGTCACATCAGTGAGCACATCACCCATCCCAAGCGTGTTCCGTTTCTCCCGGGCTCACCTTGCCTCTCACCTTGCCTGGGAGGTGTCTGCTGCCAGTCTTCGCCAAATGTGTCTCCCAAGTGTCTTCCCTGGTAATAAGTTTGCTCTTTTCCTGCAAACTATAGACACATGTAAATATAGAGAAAGAAAGCTTTACCCTCTACCCCTCCCCCATCTTGGAAAGCCATAGTGCAGCGGGTGGGACCTTGAGGGGGTCATGGCTTTCTCTGTTACGTCCAACTTTCCCTTGATGCCTCCGAGTCTGCGTTAAAATTTGATAAATAAATTCTCGTCGGTGTGAGCAAAAGGCTGCACCCCGTCAAATCACACACACAGCCTCCTTGTTTCCATGACCTCACAGTCCCTCCCCAAACGTGACTGTAAAGTCAGCTCTGGCCAGTGTGGCTGCGTCACTGCAGATATTCTAAGATGGATTTTAATTAAAGAGAGTGTCCATGTGCCATATTGCACTTCCCACCCAATGCCTAGCACCCATAGTCATTTATGTTAAGGGAAACACACTTCCTGAAAACCAGAAGCTTCCCTCTTGGTGTTAGACCTTTGATATCGGTGTTATTTTGCCATTTTAAGGTCATTATCATTCACATAAGTAGGTCATGGTAAAAAAAAAATGTCCATGGCTGGGGCTCAGGGGTAGAACATGGGCTTGGTATGCATGAGGCTCTGGGTTCTATATCAATTCTGGAGGGAAAAAAAGAAAAAGAAAACAAAAAATTCCTATTAAAAGATAGAGATATAATTCTAGAAAGCAATTTAGATTTAAAGGAAAATTTTGAGTTGGAGGGGGAATGAGGGAAAGAGAAAAATGCATAAGAATCTCATACTTCAAGGTTCTCTGTCCCCTCTCTTTTCAGAGAACACCCAATATCACACACCTTTTAAAGGTTCCAAATTCTATCTTCCCCTCATGAAGATCAAGCACAGCGTGAAGGGATCTGTCCTACGATAGAGAGGACTCCCCAGATGCAAATCTCAGGAACCACAATATGATTCTAAGGCACTTGGCTAACACAGCGTGATGTTAAACAAAAAGTCTCTCCCATCTGTACACTTGGTGGAACCCAGCAAAAGAAAGTGTGAGTGACTGTGTCAAAGGATAATTGGAATATCACCTGAAAAAAAAATTGATGACAACAAAAGGCAATCAAGTTCGGTGAGCCTCCAACCCAGGAGAAAATGTAAGACTTACCTGGGCCGAGTCGGGGGCATGGGGTCTGTTTTTCAGTCGAGCATCAAGGAAACCTCCTGGAGGGGGCATCTTGCTGGGAATGCTGTTGTAATATGGGTGGTCTGGGCCCTCCCCCTCCTCTTCTGTCCAGGGTTCATCTAGACTCTGCATCCTGTTAAAAGATTTTCAAGACTTTCACCAAAGTGGAGCTTATAGGCAAACCCAACAGATCTAACGTAAGCACCCGCTTGGTTTGGATATGCTTTAAGTGTGACCCTCCCTCAAAAAGGGTGATGTGTTAGAGGCTTGGTCCTCGGTCAGCAGGAGGTGGTAGGACCTTTAAGAGCATAGCCTAGTGAGAGGGTCATAGACAATTGACGGTGTGCCCTCAGAAGGGATTGTAGGATCTAGGTCCTTCTCTCTGTTTTCCTGTTTCAAGAAGTGATCTCCTCCTTCCTCTCATGTGCTCCCACCATGATGTGATACATCCACTGAGAATATGATAGTACCATGCCCTTCTACCCCAAAACTGTGATGAATAAACCTCTTTTCTTTAACGAGATACCAAGCTTCAGGCATTTTGTTATAGTAATGTAAAATGAACTTATAAAGAATCTATTGCCAAGAAAAGAGAATTTAGTCACTGCCTTCTCAGCCATCTATATCTTGGGTATACATAAAAAAAAATCAGATGATAATTTGATCAAAATGTCTACTTTATTCAGACTTATACCCACTGGAAAATTCCAACCATATTTGACACAGTCCTTTTTGTTCATTTTAATTGAGAAATAAATAATTTATAAGTAAAGATAACCAGATTTTCAAGGTACAAGCATACATTTTAATATGTCATGAAATTTATATAGAATTGAAATCAGCTAAAAAAAAATGAAGATTAAGAGACCTCAGAGAAAATGGCAGATTAAAGACCTTTAAAAATTATCTCTTCCATAGAAGCAACAATAAAACTGTCCAGAGATAAACTTTGATCAGAAATTACTTTTCCCAAACTCTGGAAATTAATCAGCAGCTCAAGAAACTTGCAGCATCCCAAGGAGTATTTATTTGTTAAAACTTGTAAAAACAGTATCTTTGTGGCATTTTTAAATTGCCCTATTTCCATCTCTGTGGTAGCCTGGGAAACCAAGTGTCCTTAATCACAGTGAAAACCAACACCCAGGCAGTCGTGGAAGGGCAAAACAGTAGTGAGACTCCTTCAATGCCCCATTCCCAGAAACTGACATTATTTGACCTGATTGATCCTTGAAAGACCCAACTCCCAAAGCTGTCCTTTTCTAAATTTATTTTTTAATTAATTCATAATAATCGTGTATACTTATGGGGCACAGTGTGGCAATTCAATACATTTATATAATATGTAATGATCAAATCAGAGTAATTAGCATTTTCATCTTCTAAAACGTGATCATTTCTTTGCATTTGCTAAAGCTGTCTTTATTTGACCTAATTTGGAGCTCACCCAAAGAGACAAAGGATCTAATCCCCAGGGAACTTGTCAAAAACAATTAGAGGTGATTGTTTAACATTGTGGCTTACTGAGGCAGTGGGTAACATTTGGGTTGAACAGTAGATTAATCAAAAACCTTGAAAGGAAAAGCTGGCAAGAGAGTTTTTGTAGGGATTTTAACAAGCTCCAAAATATTTCTGGGAATTTAGAAAGCTACATGCATGTGTATGCCTAGGGTTGTGTGTCTGTATAAGACCAAGGTAAGAAGCCCTAAGCTCTCACCTCTGGCTGACCTTGACTCTCTGTTTGAGCAGAAAAGTGAAGGTTAAGGTAAAGTTGTCAACTGCCTGGCTGAAGGTATACACACACACACACACACACACACACACACACAGCTCCATCAGTAGAGACTGGGAGACTTTGTGGTCCCAGACATTTAAGGAAACATGTCTTCAAGCATTAGCAAAGCAACATAGCTAGCCAAGCACAACCATGGGTGGACATATATGACAAAGAATATAGACTTCACAAACTGGGTAGAGAAAAGTCACTGAAACAAACAACCACAAACAACAACGACCACCCTGAAAAGGGGAGAAATATGATTTTCATTTTCCACATTATATCATTTAAATTTCCATTTTTAATAAAAATTATCTGGCATATGAAGAAACATGACACAATAGCTTGTATATGGGAAAAAATAAATACAGGGAAATGGTCCCAAGGAAACTCAGACTTTGGACTAAGTAAACAGACTATAAATTAACTACCTTAAATGTGGTGAAAGAATTAAATTAAAGAGCCAAGTATAAAAATTAAACAGGAGATGCCTCATGAGATAAGGAATATTGATATAAATACAAAAAGAATAAAAATAAAACACATTCTACAGTTGAAAATTCTAATAACTGAATTTTTTTAAAAAATCATTCAAGGGTATTAACAGCAGGTTTGAGCAGGCAGAAGAACAAAGGACAGGACTTAAATATAGGTCAACTGAGATTAATTAGTCTACAGCACAGAAAGAAAATAATGATTAAGGAAAATGAACAGATCCTCAGACACCTATAGGACTCCATTAAGCATATCTCTGTACACATAATGAAATCCCCAAAGGAGAGCGAGACTGAGGAGGGCAGAGGAAAAAAACATTTGAAGATATAATAATGAAGAAAATGAAGACATTTGAAAAAAGAAAGGTCAATGGCAGAGGAAAATCCTAAATCTTCAGTAATTGCATTCAATATAAATGCATTAAACATTCCAACAAAAAGTCAGAAATTGGCAGAATTGATTAAAATATGATTTGACTATATATTTTCTATGACAGACATAGACACTTTAGGAAAAAACAAAGGGAGAAATAGACAATTCAACAATAATACTTGAAGACACTAATATGCCACTTTCAATAATAGATGGAACAAGTGGAAAGAATATTAAGAAATAGAACTTTGACCAATATAATAAACCAATTGGAGCAAAGAGACATTTACAAAAATACTCTGCCTAACAATAGAGAAATAAAAGTTTTTCCTCAAGTACATATGAAATGTTCTCCAGGAGAAATCATATATATATGTTAAGCTATTAAATGACCCTCAAAAAATTTAAAAGTCTCTTTCCATTTCCATGAAATTTCCCTTCTCTCTCCCTTTCCCAAGATGGGAGGGGAGGGGAGGGGAGGGGGGATAGTAGAGGATAGGAAAGGCAGCAGAATACAACAGACAATAGTATGGCGGTATGTAAAAATGTGGATGTGGAACCGGTGTGATTCTGCAATCTGTATATGGGGGAAAAATGGGAGTTCATAACCCACTTGAATCAAATGTATGAAATATGATATAGAACTCATAGAAAAAAAAATTTAAAGGAGTAAAATCCTAAAAAGTATGTTTTCAAACAATGTTGAAATGAAAATAATAGGAATATTTCAGGATTCACAAAATGTAGAAATTAACTTATTTCTAAATAAACATAGATCAAAAAAGAGATCACAAGAAAAATTAGAAATTTCTTTGAAATGAATGAAAATAAAAACAACTCTCCAAAAGTTATAGAAGAAAATAAAATAACTGCTCATAGGGAGATACCTATACAATAAAAAACCTAAAGATAAAGACCTCAAATTAATAACTGACCTTCTACCTCAAGAACCAGAAAAGAAAGAGCAAACTAATCCCAAAGCAATCAAGAGGAAGAAAATACCATTAAAATAGAAATAAAGGAAATGAACAACAGAAAAACAACAAAGAAATTTAATGAAACAAAGAATTGGAAAGATCAGCAAAACTGTCAAAGATCTAGACAGACTGACCAAGGAAAAATTATACATTATAAAAATTATAAAATCAAATTGTAAAAATCAGAAATGAAAGAGAAGATAATACTATCAACCATACAGAAATAAAAAGGATTGTATGAGAAATGATGAATAATTGATGCCAACAATTTTGCAGATAAAAATTGCAAACTATTAAAACAGACTCAAGAAGAAATAGAAACTCTGAATAAGTTATAAATAACAAGATTGAATTTGTATCAAAAAGTTTACCCTCCAAGAAAAGCCTGGAAACATATTGCTTCCTAATGAATTCCAATAAACATTTAAAGTAAAATTAACAGCAGTTCTTCAAAAACTCTTGTTAAAAATAGGCAAGGAGGCAACATCTCCAAACTCAATCTATGAGGTCAATAGTACCCTGATCCCAAAACTTGACAAAGACATCACAAGGAAAAAAATCTATATCAATATCCCTTATGAATATGGATGAAAAATACTAAATTATTCCTAACAAGCCAAATTCAACAACATGTAAAAAGAATTATATACCATGACAAAATGGGATTTATCTCAAGAATGCAAGTTTGGATCAACATTAAAAAAAAAGTCAGCAGCTGTAATATACCATATCAATAGAGTAAAAAATAAATACCAGATGGTTATCTTAAATCACAGAAAAAAAGAAAATATCCAACACATTTGCATAATTAAATACTAAAAAAATAATAAAACACTTGGAATTGAAAGTCATTCCCATTAAACACATCTATGAAAAGACCACAGCTCACATCACAACTAATGATGAAAAACTAACTACTTTCCCTTAGAGCAGGAGCATTACAAGAATGTCCCCTCTTGCCTGCTCTTTCATTGTATTGAAGATTCTAGCCAGAGAAGTAAGATAAGAAAAAGAAATAAGAGGCACTTACATTAGGAAGAAAGGAAGGCAGGAAGGCAGGAAGGCAGGAAGGCAGGAAGGAAGGAAGGAAGGAAGGGAGGAAGGGAGGAAGGAAGCTAGCTACCTCTCTTTGCAGATGACTTTATCTTCTCAATAGAAAATCCCAAGGTATCCATAAAAAAGTTATTAGCAGTAATAAACGAGTTGAGCAAGATTGATAGATACAAGATAAATGTACAAAAATCAAGTGTATGTTATACATTAAAAATGGGAAATAAACAAAGATAAAATTAATGAAGAATTCCATTTATTATAGCATCAAAAGGAATAAATTATTTAAGGGAAAATTACTAAAACAAGTACACTATATGCTGAAAATTACAAGACATCTTGAAAGAAACACAACCCACAAAACTGGAGAAAATATTTGCTAATCATATATCTTTAAAAAAAAGCCTATATCCAGAATATATAAAGAACTCCCACAATTCAACAATAAAAAGATAAATATCCTGACCTTAAAAATGGACTAAAGATTTGAGCAGAACTTTCTCCAAAGAAGACATACATATGTCCAATACATACATGAACAGATGTTTGACATCATTAGTCATCAGTAAAATGAAAGTGGAAATCCCACTTGAGACCACTTAACTTGCACTAGGGTAGCTCAAATCTCATTAATGGATTGATCCATGGATGGATTCATGGTTTAATGGTCCCCTGACACGTGGTGAGAACTTAGGGGGTGGGGCCGACTTGAAGGAGCTGGGTCCTCCAAAGGCACCTGAAGGCTGTGCCTTGTCCCTTGTCCCTCCTTTCTCTTGCTCCCTGTCTCTCTCTTTGCCTCTGGGCGAGAGCTTTGAGCCCCCATGTGATGATGGGGCCAAGTGAGAAGGAACTGAAATCTCTGAAACCAGGAGATATCGATTTCTAAAGAACAACCATGATCTGCAGAGCGTTAGCTGCACTTGATCTGTCGTCTTCTCTGGCGTGGGGTTGAGATGCCCTCAGGAAAATCAGACCACAACCCAAGCCACCGTTCATTTAAATGTCCTTGTTTTTATTTTCAGTTAAAGAAGGGTGACGAATCCAGGTCACAATAAATGAACACAATGAGCAAAAATGACACAGGAATAAGTAATTCCCCTCACCAGCAGGGAGAGAAGGGGAGGGATATCCTGGCTCCAAGAACTGGGAACGCTGAGGACTCCTGCGCAGCTTGGGAGACCCTCACCTGCCCATCTCCACCCCTCGCAATGTGGGAAACAATGTACCAAATCCTCCCGCTTCTAGCAAATACTTCCCTATTTGGAAAGAAGTGAGAAGGGGGAGGAGGGGGAGGGGAGGGGGATGAGGGGGGGGAGGAGGAGGAGGAGGAGAAACCAAAGAGAACTCCCCCAAACAGAAGCGCATGCCATGCTAACCTCTGGGACCCTGGCACCACAGGAAGAACGCCTGCAGTGTTATCCACAATGTAGGTCTCCATAGGCTGGAGCGGGTCGGGAGGACAGGGCAGGTGGAGGAAGCACGCTTGTCTCACAGAACCAGGATGATCCAGCAGCAGGTGGAGCTGGTCCCAGGGGCTCTACTTGTTCCGCCCTCCTGGAGCCCTGCACAGTGAACGCACTGAGCACCGCCCTTCAAGGTGAGATGCCCAGCAGGACAAGCACCCGCAGCACCAAGCTATAGCAAAGGCCCCTGTGATGTTCTGTTATGGAAATTTAATCAATATTTACATCTGAAGTTTTTCTCAAAGGTTAAGATTCTGTCTACTTCCTTTTCTTTCCTCCCAAAGACCTTCAGACTAAATAGGACACTTAATCACATACTCAGGACTTCATACCTTCAATCTGATGCCAGAGAAGCAGAACAGTTAAATTAACTCTTCTCTACCCAGGTTTGTACAAATCGTTTTATCTGACTTTTACAAATACAGAACATTTTTAAAAATACAGAAAGCCATAATAATCAGTCTTAAAGATACCTAGGCATCCACCACTGAGATTAATCAAATGTTAAACCATTCAGCTATGTTTTATGCTACCTTTCTTTTGGGGAAAAAAAAAACACTAAAATTTCCCCTAGGAACTCAAGAAATAAAATAAATACATAAATTTAAAAAAAGGAAAATAGAAAGGAAAGGAGGGAGAGGAAAGGAAGAGAGGGAGGGAGGGAGGGAGGGAGGGAGTTGATCTCACTCTGGATGGTAGATCTGTTAATAATGTGTTAGTGGTAGAAACTAAATGCTGGATATATGGGTATTCACTCTAAAAGTCTTTGTGTAGTATTGAAACATTTTATTATAAAATGTTAGGGCAAAAATATGTTTTAAAAAATACGCTTGACAAGTACATTTTAAACCAACCCATCACCCCCCACCCATCCTCAGATACCCTGCCACAGATGTACACATACCTCCTTACACACATGTACATATCCATAAACTATATGTACAGTTGCTTATGTATTTTCAAAACATGCGGTGAAAAGTAAATACTCATACTCATTTCCAATTTCTTCAAGATTTATCCTGGTCATACACATATACTGATGGATTCTTTAAGCACTATGTCCACCATGTAAAAACTAAAACATCTGTTGATTTGTTCTCAGACCAGGGTACCCAGGCCACTGGACTTCCTCCCCTTACCTCCTCTTAGAGACCTGTCCCGGCTGCAGCAGGCTGAACCTTCTATCAACTTGGGAGAAGGTGGGCTTTTCACATTGGCTCCCCAATGAAGGTCTTAAAGGGAATTTTCCAGGGAATAAGGAAAGAGATTAAAAGTCTCTTTCCAGAGAGGTCAAGAGGAAAAGGGAGATTAAGTGGGCCTTCATAATAGTGGACTGAAGACAGACACTGACCTATGGCTACAGCCCAGAGTGTAGTTTTGCACTTAGGAGAAACTGTGAATGCACCATTATAAATTTTCGTTGTGCATGTCGATCAAGGACGGGGTGAAGGGCAGAATACTGAATGACCCATATGCCTTGTATTATGGCTTTTAATGCTTTATGCTGCATGGAAGATTCTTCTGTCCCAAAGAAGCACAGGAGTAGATGCTGACCACCATTTATAGTGAGCTCAATATCTCATAAGTGCTGTTGACAATCACTGTTTCACCGAACACTGAAGCCAAACTCTCTATTTTACAGGTGAAGCTCCTAGACTCAGAGAATTTAAGGAACTTGCCCAAGGCCACACAGCAGACAAAGGACTCCAAAGGCCACAAAGGACAATAAAGCAGATGGGGAGCTGCAGCCAATAGGTGCTCCTTGCAGCAGGATGCTGGCTAATTGTAATAGCAAGGACAATGGGACGTTTAGGATCTGTGATAGCACAGACCTAAGGAGGTGACATATGGAAAAATCACATGGTCGCACAAGAAACAGAACAAAATATCACAGTGAAGTTGCTTTTTGGTAACCTTGGTTACTATCACTATAGTTTCAAGAAAATATTTTCTACACATTCGAAGCATCACCCATATGTTGCCTTCCATCTGTGGCTTCCCGTGCCCGAGCCCAGCATGAGCAGGTGTCTCTGAGCCCAGGAAGCCCTGGGATGAACTGGGTGTGACCAGAGTATGGCTTGGGGATGTCGTTTTCAAAGAAAATGTCATAAAACAGAGAGAGGGGCTTCAGCAAGTGGCGGGCAGCACTACTCACCGGTCCTGGAGAGCAGGAATCTTGGAAGGACACTGCAGATACTGCTTAAACCACAGCTCAAAGGCTTGGCCAATGGAGCCAATGACGTCTTGGGCCAGTCCATCACAGCATTCCAGAATGTGACAAGCTGAGAGAGAAGGGGACACAGGCAATTAGAGACAGATGCGGGAGCTCCCCAGCTCCTCAACCAAGAGCTCCTTCTTGGTGTCAGAGAGAAAAGGAGGTGTCTTCTTGCTTCAGAATCCATCTCAGCAGAACTGACTACACCATCATCTCTGGAAATCCCACAGCTATGGTGGAAGGCATTCATCTTTTTTAAGAACCAGCTGTCTGCAAAATTATAGGTTCTATTTTTAAAGAAAGGATTTTTAAGTCCAAATTGGTCGTGCTTCAATATCTTTAGAGTCTTCAAACCATCAATCCTAACCTTGTTAGGGAAACAGCATTTGGAAGGAGACCTCAGCACAGCCTAGAGCCTGATCTTGCACCAACGGAGTCCCATTAAGTCCCCGTGGGCTTTAAGCAGTGGATTTAAACTGAGAGCTGTTTAATGAACCTTCCTCTATTCAACAGACTTGGAGACAGTGGTCTGGTGACTTTTCAGTGGGAGTACAATGTAGACCACAAAAGGCAGTTGCTGGAAATAGTAAGAAGCACAACCTCTTAGAATGGTGGTAAAGAGGTATTAGCCAGTGTGCCCGTCCCCGTAACGTGCAAGCCACGTCCTACACAAAACTGGGACTGGATTTTCAGGCAGATTCTCAGGAAGGCAGCTTGAGAGGAAGAAGGGATAAAAGTTAGGGAGCTGGTGGACCAGAACAGTGCCCAGAGGAGGGGGAAGCAGCCTGAGAGGGCTTTCAAGGGTTCGAGGGCAGGTACCAGCAGGAAAGCCTCCGCACCAGGACAGTGTGTCCTGATGTGAGATCTCCAGACACTGTGGGCCTGTCACCAGGAGCAACGTGCTAAACAAAATGACCAAGACCATTGTTTGCCCTGAGCTCCTGCACGTGTCCCAACAGACCAGACCAGACCAACATGGAGTCCCTCCTGACAAAATGCCCCATTACCATACGGAAACTTGAAGGAAGCGGACAGATCCCGAAATAGACCAATTTCTCCAGAAAACAGGAGCCAGTATAATAAGAAATGCCCTCTGCTTTAGCCCTTACCTCCCCACCACCCCAAAAAAGTTAAAAATAAGTAACCTGATCTTGACCAATCAGGCTATTTTTTTAAGTGTTCTGTCTCCTTGTTCCCACTTTACAAAACCCACTGTTCTGCTTGGCCCTTTGGGAGCTCTCTATTTTTAGAAGGAGAATTCCCCAATTCATGAATCATAAATAAATGAGATCTATGACTAAATGTGTTATAATTTTGTCTTTTGACAAGCACAACACACAGTCTTGCTACAAATGGGATAAAGGAATTCTCCTGGAGAAAAATGACAGATACCTATCAATGCTCCGTCTCTCTCTTGCCAACAGCCACCATGTATTGCCAAGGAGGCTGCCTCCCTCCAGAAGCCCATGGAACCACCAGCAAGGTGCTTGGTACTTATTCCCAAGGGGTGGCAGTGACTAGGGAGACATGGAACTGCACCCACCTTTTGCAAGAGAAACCAGGACACACCAGAAAGAGGCCTCATGTAGACAGGAAGGGGGAAGAAACCCCCACCACCTCCACGCTCATCTGCCCAGAGCCAGCTAGATACTGGCGGTTCACCCACAAGACAGCCCTGGACCCTCAGTCTGCTAACCCCCCAGACTATAGGTGGACCCAGGGAACAGTATTTGGGGGGAAGAATGTGGGTGAGCACACCATTGCTTTGGATTGCAGTGTAACCCATCAGATAGATAGAGCAGTCCTATTTTAGCGACAGGCAAAGAATCCATGTACAAAGGTGCAGGTGTCCTAGATACCGTTTATATGTTGATTCGTGATATTATTGGATTTTATTGTGGGTATTATTATTAAGCATAGTCCTGGATAGTCACATAGCAAGCCCGTATTAAGCAAGGATCACGATGGCACAAGTCACCGATGAATACAAATGGAAGCCTCATGCTCAAGCTCAAAAGGAAGTGGAGGGTCAGACTTGAAGAAGCAAAATCCAGCATGACATGGTTCCCCCCCAACCTATCTGCGGGCTTCCAGCCACACTTACTGGCCCCTACGGTTCCACATCAGCACCAGCCAATGGAATTGTCTGGAACTTTGGAGAACCATAGAGTAAGAGGGGAAAAGGTCAGAAAGTAGAGTCTTTTTTCTTTTTTTAAAGGAGAGAAGCCACAGCTAACATTTGAAATGGAGAAGAGAAAATGAGGCTTGTTCAGGGCAGTTCACTTACATCTCACCTCGACTCAACTCCAACACACATGAAGGCTATAAAGGGTGTGCTGTCACGTAAGGCCAAGCAGCTTGGAGCAGTGCAAGGGCCTAGGTGCAAGTGCCCTAGCAGGGTGAGGACCAGGCCCTACCAGTCTAAGTGACAGAGGGTGGCACATCCTACAGATAGCGAGCTGGCACAGGAGCTCACTATCACTATCACTATTCACAGGAATTAAATCAGGGCTTGGTCCTGGGACCTGGCATGGCCCCCAATAAATGGAGAAAACAATATCATCTACTGCTTGGTCCGAGGATTCCTTTTGTATAAGTTGCCTTTATGTATCCCAGAAGCTCACTCCACACCCCAAATGAACCCCGGATGTCATCTTGGGAGCCTGGTATCTTCTCTGAGAGCTTTGCCGGTCTTTAGCCAGAAGCCACATCCAAGAGGATCTGGCATGAACATCAAAAGATGAGTCCCCCCAAAAGGTGGCCATCAGACCTGGGTAGCAGTGTTGGGCTTCACGTGTCCATGAGGACATGGCAGCCAAAGGCACAGTTCCCAAGCAAGGAGGATGATGAGAGAGACCCGGAGCAATGTGCTCAGAATGAAGAGGTGAGATGATGGAGAAGGGAGAAACATGGGTCAGAGGGCCAGCAAGATGGAAGCATGGTCCACTCGGTCACTTCTGGGGAACCTGGTCCTTTTGATGGCATTGACAGCCAGCAGGAGTGTCATTTTCTTACTGGTGGAGTTCACTGGCCAACATGAGTCTCTTTTTGACTACTGTGAATGTCAATGGTTAGAAAATTTATCTTTCCATCTTTGAGACACTTTTTAAAACGATTTTTAATTTGGAGGAGTTGATTTCTTATATTTTCTGATTAGATAATCATTTTTACTTTGAAATTGACACCTACAAAGTGTCCAAACTGGAAGTCAATCTTACCAGGTTTACTATTTCTTTCCTGTTTGCCTAAGTTCTTATTGTCATTATAACCCTTGACTTATGGTTTCTCTCTGAGAAGTTTAGTTCAGTTAAAAAAAAGTCAATAGTTTGATATAATCCCATTTGCCAGATCTGATTTTTGTTAACTAAGCTTTTGAGTTCTGACCCCCAAAAATCCTTGCCCAGACCAACGTCATGAAACATTCTCCCTATTTTCTTCTAAAAGTTTCATAGTTTGGGGTCTTACAATTATGTCTTTAATCCATTTTAGTTGACTTTTATATATGGAGAGAGACAGCATCTAGGTGTATTCTTCTGCGTGTAGATACCCAGATTTTCCAATGACAAATTTTGAATATACTATCCTTTCCCCAGCGTATGTTTTTGGCACCTTTATGGACAATCCGCTGGCTGTGAATGCATGGATTTATTTCTGGGATTTCTACTCTGTTCCATGGGTCTATGTGTCTGTGTTATGCTCAAACTCTTGCTTTCTTAGTGCAACTTTGCAGCATAATTTGAAGAAAGGTAGTGGGCTGCTTTGTTCCTTTTGCTCAAGATTGCTTTGGTTATTCAGGATCTTTTGTGATTCCATATAAATTTTAGGATTGCTCTTTTTTACTTCTATGAATTTCATTGGTATTTTGATAGGGATGTCATGGAATCTATAGACTTAATTTTTAAACAGCTGATCTCATGGGAGTAGAGAGTAGAATGGTACATATCACAAGAGGGAAGTGGGTGTTCGGGAGAGAAGGGATGGAGAGATGTTGGGTGAAGGATATATATAATTACAGTGAGAAAGGAGAATAAACTTCCAGAGACCAATTGTAAAGCAAGATGACTATAGTTAATAACAAAATAGTGTGTTATTGAAAATGTAAAAAAGAAAATGGTTGCTATTAAAAAAGTAAAACTATGTGAGGGTAATGCATTGGTTAATTAGTTAGATTTAACCATTCCATAATAAATATCTATAGTCTTCCCTTAAAATATGTGGGGAATTGATTCCAGGATCTCCTGAGGATACTAAAATCTGAGGTTGTCAATTCACCCATACAAAATGGCATATATTTGCACACAACCTACGCACATTCTCCCTATGCTCGAAATCACTTTGAGATGACTTAAAGTAGCTAATACAATGTAAATGCTATGCAAATAGTTGTTATATTCTATTTTTATGTGTACTATTTTTACTGTTGTATTGTTATTCTAAATATTTTTGATCTGCAAATCCAAAGATGTGGAGTCCATGGACACAGAAGGCCCTAGCGGACTTCAGTGTTAGGGTACAACAGGATAGAATCACACAGTGTTATCCACTGATTTAAAAAGTCAGAACAAAAATGTTTTCAACCTAGTTCATGCGAGGTTTGAGTCCATTTCCTGAAGCCACTTAATTCGAGTTCTTCAGCCTGACAGGGGGCAGCAGTGTCTGTGAGAGCACCTTAGTTAAGAGCCCTCCGTCTCTCTCTGCTCCCTGCATGCCATGCCCTGAGCTGCTTTCCTCCTCTCATGATGCTCTACTTCACCTGGGACCCAGAACAATGGATTCAGCCAACCATGGACTAAACCTCTGAATCCATGAGCCAAAATAAACTTTCCTCCTCTAAGTTGTTCTTGTCAGGACTTTTGGTCCCAGCACTGAAAAGCTGACTAAAATATCCTGCTAAACAGTAGTGACTATCTCTTCCTTTCATTGGGCTGATGGCTCCCCACTTACCTAGAGCATGCTCACCAGAGCAAAGGAGATTCCTCACTCTGGCAGGTTTATCAGCCAGCCATAGCCTGTTCATTTTATGTATTCATATGCCGCTCATTGTTCAAAGTTTTTGATCCAAGATAGGTAATAAATTTAAAAATTAAGCTAGCATGCTAGTAGTCATTTAACATGTATCCCAGCACCAGAGGACCAGATTAAAACTACAA